GATGAAATGATTTCAGACAGAATCTCACCCCACTTGGTGAGAATAACGCCTGGAGCTCCTTCCCTCTGTAACAGGTCTGGGCACATGTCGCAGCCAGAGAGGGTGCGAGGGGCGGGGGGACGCCGGGACACTTTGGGAGATCTTGGGACCGACAGAGGAAAAGGTTCCACAGCACCCCCAGCCAGGGGAGGGCAGGATCACGCTCAGCTGAATCACATCAGGCTGCTCCACAGCGCTATGAAATTCAAGTGAAAAGGGCACCTCGTGCCCACCGGTCACAGCCTGGCTTCCTGCTGCCCGTGAGATGGGTGCCAGCCCCACTCTGTGCCCACTGCAGGGACAGGTGGCGCAGCAGCCTCCATCCCTTCCCCTCCAGTGTGGGCATCCCATACAGTTGGGGTGACTCCAGAGTGCCCTCAGGTCCCAGCATGCCTACATATTGCCACCACAGGCTCCCAAACAGCCTGCGCTTCTATGTGCTCAATCAGAAGTAGAACACCCCATGAAACTCCTCTGCCAAGGGTCTATCCCACACCACGGAGAGGTTTGGGAGGGGCTCAGAGGCACCAATTGAATCACTTCTCTGTGTTTCTCCCTAAAAAGCTGTGGGCATTCACACAGATGCCAGCAGAGCTTTCCTGGTGGCTCTGCTCCATAGCAGGAGCTGGCACATCCCACCGCGATGGCACGAAGACTCCAAACTTCCAGCAACACAGGGAGGGAGGAGATCAGGTTTCCCCACAATTTCTGATGCAAAACTTCAGGAATCTTTGGAGCCGGCCTTCAGCATTCACTGGGAGATGGCTATTTGACAGAGTCTGTGTCCCTGGAGGTGCTAAAGAACCATGGAGATGTGGCACTTGGGGACACGGTGGGGATGGGTTGATGGTTGGACTCGGTCACCTTAGAGGTCTTTTCCAAGATGCGGTGACCATCCTCAGCAATGTATCTCCAGCCCCCAAACCATCCCACAGAGGATGAGCACACACACAAGGACTGCCTTTCAACTCACCACATCAATTCTATCTCAGCTTTTCTCCAGGAGCTTGCTACTCCTCAGAACAAGTCCATCAGCCAGAAGACAACACTTTGCTCCCCTGGCCTGCTATCCACGCCTCGGGGATCAGCTGCTCCATCCCACAGCACGCAGAGCATTGCACCCATACACACCATAGGGCTGAATTGCTGGCAGCCCCACGCTGTGCCTCTGGGCTCACTGTGCTTGGAGACAGAGTAAAGCGGGATTTGTGCATAGCTGCACTCCAATATTTTAGAGAGAAACGCAGTGTGTGGCAGATGCTGCCAGGTACAGCAGAGCAGAGCTTACATCTTTGGGGCAGACGGATGTATTTAATCACCCGAAAGCTGCTACTATTTTATTCTCTGCATCACTGAAAGGTCTCTGAGATGAGCTCGAGAATCCCATCCATAGACTTGGGCACAGCATGGCAAAGGATACTTGATTTAAGCTCATATCTGAGCCAGCACCACCAAATCAGCATAGGTGCTCCATAGAATCACAGAACGGCGTGGATTGAAAAAGACCTTAGAAGATGTTTCCTACATTCCAAACAAAAATGTTCACAGAAAACCGTTCAAACTTTGCAGAACAGATCATTTCTTTCCGTGGTTCTGGCACGGAACTCCGCGTGTTGGCTTCCAGAGGAAGGACTTCATGGCCACCCAACATACACACGTGCCTCGTTTGGAAGCAAGGTTTTGGAAAAGTCACCAAGCACAGCAGGGAGCTCTCTGCTGCAGAAGGGCTGACTGCTCCTCACCAACCCATTCCAGCATCTTCAGCTCACTGCCTGCGTCACCGCACAGCCCCCAGGACGGCTGCACGCCCAGCGCTGCTGAAATCCCTTCCCATCAGGCAACACCTGCAGAGAGGACGCGCCAGCGCCGCGCATTTCCATTTCTGTGTCACAACAACTGGAGCACGGTGACGCCGAGGCAGCTCCGGTCACGGATGCAACAGTTCCTCTGACAAATCCAGCCCGCGTGCTGCCAGACCTCGCGTTACCCGGCGCTTTAATAGAGCCGTTCGCTCCGCTCAGGGCAGCAGCTTCTCCCCGTTTCCCTCCAGGGAAGGGAGAGGCACGCGGAAGATGCTCAGCTGCATCCTCCCCGGTCCTCCTCCCACCCCACCCCCAAGGATACATCAAGATTCATCAATAGCAACAGAGTTTGAAATCACAGCCTCGGTGTGAAGCGCAAATCTTGCACGCAGCCCCCAGATCCGCGAGCGCTGCTGCTTTATCTGAATAAGCACGAGCCCACGTTCCACGCCAGAGCACTGAGAGTGCTGCTGCACGTGTGCTACCAGGCTGAGAACGAACAGCAAGATTGATTTGGACGCGAGCACCAGCAAAGCAAATGGCTTTTTGAAAACCCTATAATTTCTCCGCAACCCTTGACTTCACTAAACACACATTTTTAGACTACGGCACCGTTAGGTAGGCATTAAACAAAAATGAGCCGCACTAATGATGATTTATGTGCAGGATAACCTTCCATAAAGAATTTATCTTTGATTTCAGGGTAAGTTACAGCGTTGCCAAGTGAACCAAACCACGCGAGTCGGCACCAAAGTCCCTCCTGCAGCAGCGCGACACAGACACGAGGCACTGCTCCACCATTGTTTCAAGATCTCACCCAAAATTAACCCAGTAGGAGCTCCTGAGAAGGCACACATGGAGGAACTGGAGGAGAGAAGTCAGGCAGAGCACTCAGAAAGCAGCACTGCACCGCTGGGAGCAGCACTAAAGGAGCAGAGAGAGCACAGGGCACAGCAGCAGGAGACGATGGGCATGAGCAGGAATTACTCCCCCCATTCCAAGGGGAGACCACGGTTTGGTAACAGCAAAGCCAGCACCAGTTCTAGCAAGAGCAGTAAAAAATCAGCTCCAGGCAGATACTATATTTGTAATCCAACAGCAAAACACGCTTGCTTGTGTTGACTCCGCACTGTAACACAATTTGTATGTTCTGTCTTTAGGGTAATTATTGCTTTAGAATGTTAAAATTGTTCCACTCTAATTAAATCATCATATTTAAAAAAAAAAAAAAAAATCCACTGCAGCAGTGAGCTTGGGAGCAGGCCTGGCTGAGATCATGTGTGTGCATGGGTGCTTGATGGGCAATGCACTGCTGTTGCTCACACAGAGCACAGACACTGCTCTGCTCCTGCAACTCCACTGCACAGCACAAATCCACCAGAGCACCCTGCCATCCCCAGGGTCTCCAGCACCACTGGGAGCACCCAAAGCAGAAGAGCAGCACCAGAAGCCACTATGCACCAAGCTAGCCCATCAGGGAACAGTGCTCCTCCTGAGCAACAACTGCTGCTGAAGGCATTTCCATGATGCTGCAAAACCTCCTGAAACACCAGAAAGATGCTTACACAGGTTTGTATTCAAGAAGACTGTTTGCTAAACAGAAATCTCCCTTTCCAGGCACAAGGCTGCTGCAGACACAGAGCAGCTGCCCATCAACGAGCAGCGTCCTTCCCAGCTCCTGCCCGGGGAAGACCACGGAGAGAGGAGTCTCATGCAATATTTCATCCTGAGACTGTCAGAAGTGGGTCAGTGCTGGGGAGGAGGGGCACTGGGCTGGAGCCCTGACCACGGCAGGGAGCTGGCTCCTCGCCCCAGCTCCACAGCCCGGCATGGGCTTGGTGCCAGCACCAGGATTGGCACAGGGGTTGGTGGAGATATGCGCCCTTGATGCTCCAGCACAGCTCCCAGCTGTCACCTCACAGACCCTACAAAACCCCAACAGTGGAAGGAGTGCTGCCTCCCAACGTCCATCCCCATTCCAGCCATAGGGGAGCATTGAGCCAGCAGCTGGTCTGCACCCAGAGATGCCACCACAGCCCTCTGGAAGGCTGCTCATCCCCTTCCAGGTGAAGCACTCTGCTCCTTAAGCTCCTTAGGAAACAGCCCCACAAGGCGGATTAGAGCAAATCCCCTCCCATGCACGGTCAGCAGCTGGCACTGGGATGTCCCCTCAACCGTCCCCCCGCTGGTGGCAGCCCCTGGGCACAGCATAGCCTATGTGGCCCTGGGGGAGCAGCGGGACTTATTGACCTGTGAGCAAATATCAAGCACCGAGTGCTCACTTTGGGCAAAATCCTTTAATTCTTTCTGGATCCCCTGGGGAAAGAAGCATTGATTACTTTACTACCAGCTCACCCACGCTGCGCCGGGCAGCCAACACAGCCATCAATATAGCCAGGGAGGAAGCCAGGAGGTCACCCAGGCACACAGGGACACTGGTGGCCCCACACAGCACCTGCCACAGCCCTGTGCTGCTCCTGAGCCTGTGACAGCCTGGCAGGACCCAGCACAACACATTCAGCAGCATCCCCTGCTTGCCCACACCAGGTCTGGGAGGTTGTATCCCACCCAGGGGACCTGCTGGGGCAGGACCCTGCTTTCAGAGCCTCCCTGCTTTCATGGGGTATCAAAAGCCCAAGGGTCCCTGCAAAAGGTTGGGTGCTGCTGTCCCCCTGTGTCACACCGGTGGGAGCACATCCTGCTAGGGTGGCCACGTGGCTGCCAGGTGCCAGGAGAAGAAAGAGATGCACAATGCCAAATTCAAGTCAAGAAACTGGAAAACTGACTCTGTGCCATTCAAAAACCAGGGAAACCAACCAGCTGCAGGTCAGGATGGGGATAGCATGGGACATCTCCTGCTGACCCAGTGTGAGGTGCCACGCAGCCATGGGGGTGAGATGGCTCAGGCAGGCAGCAGACACCGGGACAGAAGCCACGAACTCAGCAATGCACAGAGCATCACCATCACCAGAGACAACAACACAGCACATCTGCTCACACCACCGGGCCTCTCCGGTGTGAAGCCACAGGATGGTCCCCAGTAAAGGCCTTGGCTCTGGCAGCACCAAAAGCCATCCTCCACAAGAGCCAGCCCAACACGACCAAGCAGGTCAGGTATTCCAAGGAACACGGCGCTTCCCAAGCAGCTGTCTCTCTTACCTGGGATGATAGAAACGGTGTCTTTTTCCCAGGACACAACACTAACATATTCCTGCACTGAGGAGGGGATGAGGCACTTGAAGACAGCCACGTTTCCACGCATCGACCTTTGGTCCTCCACCCGGACGGTGTACGGCTCCCTGAAAACTGCAGAGGGGGGCAGATGGTTGGTGGCATGACAGCACCAGATGGAAACCCATCTTAGTTTTGCTTTAATCCTTCATCTCCCCCCCAAAAAAAACCAACTCCCCCCCCCACCTTGCTGGCTGTCAGGGCACCTTGCACTGCTGCTAGAGATCAGGAGCAGAATGGGTACATTGCTGGGTGCTACTGGGTGACACCTCACCTGGACAGTAGCAGGGGAGGTAGCAGCCACAGGTAAGCAGCCAGCTGAAGGACAGGCCCCAGCTGCACCGCTGCCCCCTCAACTCCCTGCTATTGACGGGGTGAATGAAAGAAACCTGCACAGAAAGGAACACCAGCACTGCAGCAGCGTAATCGGCCAAAGCCTCCTTAATCACATGGAGCAGGGGCTTGTTCACAGACTTTGAAGGCCAGCAGAGAGCATGGGGGCACCCAGCTGGGCTCTGCTCCCAGCACCCCAACCCCAGCCCCACAGCCCCTGCTGTGCCAACCCGCTCGTTCCCACAAAGGTAGTTTAAAATCAAGACCAGCATGTTTACAGTTTTCCATTGGCCAGAGAGATTTAATCCCTGTGCTCACTACTAGCTTTGCTAAATATTTTGAGAGTTTTCCCAATTCCTCATATTTTTAATTGGGTCTTACTTGCTTTCTTTATATAGCTGTCATTGGCTTTTCATGTTGCACGGCCACCACAAAGCAGAGAACACAAGATAGCCAAGGGGACACAAAGGTTTCAACCAATTTCAAGTGTTCCAGAGCCAAAGTGCTTGGAGATAGCACAGCTGAGGCCATCCTGGTGGCCCTGCTCATTGCCCCACTGCACGCTGCCCACTGATTGCACCTGCTAATAGCACAGATGTGGGCCCTGGGCAGCAAGGGAGCTCACAGAGCCCTGGCACAAGGATGGGTCAGCTCCATGCAGCACAGCCACGTTTACTGCACCCCTACCTGCTGCCATCCCTCCTCCACTAAGCTGTGGTTTATAGGTAACCTGCTAATGTTGGTAAATAATTCACTCCAGGAGGGGGGTTAATACCCATTTACTCTGCAGTACAAGGTATTAAAATAAAAAAACCCTGTAGTCACTTCTGTCATGTTCCCTCTGCTAGCCCCATTTTTAATAGGTTACATAATGAAGCCATTCCTGGGCTATTAGCCCTCCTCAGCCTGGTCAATAATTTACCATAACGGCTTTTGGAAGCAGCTCTTTGCCATATTCCTCCTTTTTTCTTTGCTTAATAAGCCTTGGCGTGCTTAGACTGGATGCTCCAGTGGGAACAGAGCAGTCTGAGAGGGGCTGTGGGACACGGTGGGGCTCTGAGCTGCAGACGGATGTGTCCCAGGTCCTCCTGCACACGATGGTTTACGCTGCTTAAGGGAGGTGCAAGGATGCAGCCGCACCATCGCTGCACCCAAACCACACGCCATGCCCCTGCCCATCACTGCGCAGCCCTCCCCGTGCCAGCAGCAGACTTGCATCACACAGCTTGCTCTGAGCTCAGGCAGGACACAGCTCACAGACATATTGGCAGCTGCCTCCTGTTCATCCAACCCCTGCGCTCCGGCTGTGCAGCATCGATTGGTGCCCTCGCAGCAGGGCAGCACAGCCCATGCTCAGCTTTCCACCGAGCACAGCAGCCTGCTGTCACCACCCCACACCAGGTGGGCAGGCCAGGAGATCCGAGAAAAGCCGTCACCGCATCCAAGCCCCAAGCCCCAGGGAGATCCTACCTGCTTTAACACGGATATTCGGGCTCCTGATTTTGCCAGCCGAGTTCTCCGCCGTGCAGAAGTAGTCGTTGTCGTGGATAAAGCTATTGAAGGCTGATGGCGAGAAGGGGTAGAGCTGCAAAGTCCCATTGGCATGGACATGCCGGATGTGGGGCACATCGTAGATGTCGTCACCTGTGGCCAAATACCACCGAAGGACGGCGCTGGGTGACCCTGCGGCCGGGCAGGGGATCACCACCCCCACTGTGCTGGAGAAGGTGACCTGCTGGATGGAGTCGTTCACAAAGTAGAGGCTGGTTCCAACATCTTCAGTGTGAGCTGCAGAGGAAGCAGAGTCTGAGGGTCAGTGCGGATGGCAATGCTCCTCAGCAATGTGATCACCCCGAACCCAGCCACGGAGCACAGAGAGAACATCAGGGCAGGGGCTGGAAGCACAGCTCAGGAACTACGAGCATCTCACCACAACCAGATGCCCCCACGCATGGGTGCTCCTCAGCCAGACGTGCAGCCTCAGATGTGCAGTGTGGGCTCTGCACAGATACACCACTACCCGGTGATGGGGGCTGTGCGTGCACTGGTGGCCCTGAGCTTGCACCAAAGCACAGCTCACACTGCCCAGAGCCACCCAGCACACTGTGATCACTGCAGAAAAGCAAAGGAGACCTCTCCACCCAGCACCCCCCTTGCCACTCCAGGACCACGAGCTCCCCTTTACCACCACAGCGAGCAAAGCTGCCTACAAATAAGGACGAGGCAGCCCCCAGTCACTCAGTTCCGTTTTTCTTTTTTTAGCCACATTTTTCTGCGTGGGCAGAAGGACACAGATATAGCAAGCGGCCCTCGGCGCTGTATTAATAGCTCTGCCTGGGAGCACCACTCGTGGTGCTGCAGAGCCAGCACAGAGCGTGCCATGCTGCGGGCTCCAGCGAGCCGCTGGGGACCTCCCTGACCCCAATTCCTTCACTTGGGGAGAAGAGAACAGGAACGGGGTGGGGAAAATACACCAAGATCCACATCTGTGCCCACATCACGCTCCACTCATTCTCAGCCAGGTCAACAAAGGAAAGCCCAAAGCACCTCAAACTGTGCAGAGCCGTGTCCAGGTTCCTATGATCCCAATGTGAGCACCCACATCTTGCTCTGCACTGAACCATCATCTAAAACACATAAAATGGCCAAGTTTCCTCCTTTGCCTACTCAGAGCCCTATAGTCTCACACCAAGGCCAACTGCAGCTGTAGAATCACAAAGCTTGGAAAAGACCTCCAACCATCAACCCATTCCCAAGTGCTGCACCTACAGAGCTGCATCACAGAGCAACCAAAGGGACTGGCAGCCAGCAAGATCCAGCACTGTCACTGCACCCCAACCAGTGACATGCACCAGGGCAGGATGTTACCCACCCTACACCCTGCCCAGCAGCGATGGGAGTGCAGCCACAACCCTATGGGGAAGCATCCTCCTGTCTGGTGAGGGTTAGAGCTGGAAGGGTGAAGGGTGGGAGCAAAGAGTGGAAAAATACCTCGTAAACAGAAATTCAGATTACCCATGAAGCTTTTTCAGGTCAAAGGGGGAAACGGATTTTTAATAGAAAATGGAAGTTATGGGATTGGCAATAGTTATGTGACAGACGCATAGAGTTAAATCCAGATAATCTCCTTTACCATTTAGCATTGAGCACCATTCTAATTCCATGTTTCATAAAACTGTCTCCAAATCACCGAGGGGGATTAAAAATTTAGAAATAGCGCCGCAATATTTTTAAACCAGAAATCACTGCTCACATCTGGTCAGATGTGCTGACCCTAACCTAAATATCGAGGGCATTAATTCACGCGAGCTGGAGAAGAGGCAGCTACAGAGGAGCCCACATGGAAGCGTTTCGCCGGGGGAAGTGCAGTGAAGCAGGCACAGCACCAGACTGCTGGTTCCAGAGCTGCACAAAGCCCTGCGCGCAGCCGGACACTGCCTGGCTCACTCTGAGAGGCACGTATTTGAAGTCATCAAGGTGCAATCTTCTTAAATTGTAGTAAATTACAACCTAGAGGTATTGAAATATTAATATCTCTCACTGAGCTGGGAGCAGAAAGTCATTTTGCTATCATCCCATAGGAATATTTACCAGCCTCGATGGCTGGACTTTCCAAACTCGACTCCCCCTGGAAGCGCAGCCGCTCTCAGCACTGCAGAGCCACGCGCCGTACGAGATGCACTCATTTACTCTAACGAGTGACTGAGGCAGAGCAGCCATAAATCGACCCCAGGGTCTGTCAGCAGCCACGTGCTCTGGGAGAAGGCAGCTGAGGTGTAGGTGTGAGTCCTGCATGGAAGCGACACGCAGAAATGCCAGCACATCCCCGATGGCAGCCCAGCGAGGCAATGCTTCCTCGCCTCCAGACCTCACAGGGAAGAGCTGCTCCTGTCACATGAAGTGGGTTTAGGGCTATTTGCCACGACCAGGTGCGTTGCTGCCACGCAAAGGGTTTGCAGCACCGTGGAGCAGACAGCTGCTGAACTGCAAACCCACTGCACCCCACCAGCAGCATATTCCCAAGGCTCCCCCTCGGGCTCAGCACTCCAGGTGCCTCCCAGGATCACCACCAGGCAAGCAGACGAGCTGGATGAGCCATGGGGGCTGCCCAGCCACCAGCTGTGACAGGCTCTGCCAGGAACAGCAGGCTAATCACTGCCTTGCCACTCATTTATTATCCTCATTAAGGGCATTTGACACCTGCCCTGTTCAAGGAGAAAGTGAAGTGGGTGGGAGTTGAGGTAGGTGGCATGGCCTGACCTTGCCTCCCTGCTGCCAGGAGGTGGGACAGACCCATCCCATGCTACCCATCCATGAAGCAGTCTTTGGCTCTGCTTGGAAGGAGCTTCCATCACCATCAGAGCACTAACAATCCTTCTGCTAACAAAGGGAGAGTCCTCAGAGCAAGAACTGACATCTCTGAGCATCACAGAAGGGAGAGGAATGGTGAGACATGGGGTCAGATGCACATAGCAGGGCTCCTCCAAGCGCCCCAGCACCTGCAGCAGTACACAGGAGGTGCACAGCCCCCCCGGCAGCACAGCTCCCCCATGCAGGAGGTCTCCCCAAAGCAGCAGTTTCCCAAGCCATCTTAAAGCCCTGACCTCAGCCAAACAGCCATCCCCACAGAGCGGTGCCCCCAAACACCAAGCACAGCCCCAAGGGCAATCCCAGAGCACACAGCCACCTTCCTTAGGAGGGAACACTGGAGTAGAATCTAGCTTCCAACCCCCTGTGGGAGTGCATCCTGCTCAGAGTGCTGCTGCCTGCTCCTTAATGCATCTGCATGGAAATTAAGGCCTGAACCACCTCCAGCTATTGCAGCAGCACCCAGGCGCAGGCTGTAACCCTTGCCTGGAAGGAGCAGCACTCCCACTCATTTGCCCAGCCCCTGCAACGTACAAATGGTCACCTCCTGCTTCTTCACACTAGAGTGTCGTTGTCACCTCCCCATCCCTGGAGGCTGGCACGGCATTCCCCAGCTCTGCATCACCTCTCTACAGCCTCCCAACCTCCTCCAGGAGGTGGGAACAAGCTCAGGAAGCACAGGCAGAACCTCTCCCTGCCCTCTAACAGCCCACCCTTGCTTCTCCAAGAACACCCAAGACCCAAGGGGACATCAGCAACGTGACCAAGACAGGCTGCAGCAATGTGCCCCCAGGCACATGGGTCAGGTCCAACGGACAGGGAGGCACTGAGGCCACGTATGCCTACTGCTGGCCTTCCTGCAGAGCCAGCAGCCCCTCACTTCCAAACCACAGCTGGCACACTTGCTTTAAGCACAGATTTCTGCCCCACAGCCGACAGGTGTGAGATGAGGGAGTTTGTCCATAAAGCAAGCCAGAGGAAGGCAGCTCGCTCACCTTGTCCCTTTCCCTTTAAGCTGCACTTGCTCCCTTCCCTCCCACAGAAATGAAACCCAACGGCCCCTTCCAAGAGGCAGCTGCTATGAGCAGTCAGGAAACGGATTTCCAAAATATTTGGTACAGCTCTGCTAGCAGGTGATGATGGCAAGATGCAGATGGTACACGGTTGGGTTTGTTTCTTAACCATCTACAAGCAGGGAAAGAGAAATCGATGACATTGTAACATACAAATACATAGCTGGCTGTAGCTGAGATTTCAAAGACAAGAAACACTCTGGACCCAAGGCAGCCACTGCATAGCTTCTCATTACAGCACGCTTTGTATCTACTGCGACAAGCAAACCCCTTCCTCCTTCATGCCCTCCTAGGAAGCCACACTCGTTAGCAGCCTGCTTGTCTGGGTGTGAGATGACTTCATGCGATCCAAGGCACAGCTCAGAACTCACACGCTGCCATGTCAGAAGGATTCCTGCCACAAAGAGACGCTTCCAGTTTTATCCTCGCTCCGTCAGCTGCTTCAAACGAGGACAGTGCTCCTCACCACTCCACTCTGGACCAGATGGGCAGAAGTGCTGCAGCAGAAAGGCACCCTATGCACTGCTGGGCAGCACGGCCCTGGCACCCGCAGCCTCTGCTCCTCCAGAGAACAAACACCAAGAAATATAGGGTTACCCATATCAATTTCTCATCCAAAAGCGAGAGCAGCCCTAACCCCACGCCAGGTGCAGGTAAGGGCTCTGGGCAGGTTGCCACCGTGGCTCCCAGTGCAGGGAAATGTTGGCTATCTGCAGGCTAACAAACGCCGGGCACGGCGAGGGCTCAGCACCGCAGCCTTCTCCTCCGTGCATTTAATGAGGCTTCCATGTTTCATTTCAGAGACAAACGAGCGCCATGCCACGCTGGGGGAGGGCCAAGATGGGGAAGGGAAAATAAAAATAAATATAAATAAAAATAAACGCAGGCTGCAGAGTCCACTGTACCCAACACCGGAGCATAGCGCAAATCCAGTGCCAAAATAAACCAGGACAGACCCAGCAAGAGATGATCTCCCAGCTCAAAGCCTCTGCTCCTCAGCGCACTGCTCACACCACAGAGCTCCTTCTGTCCTTCCTGGGGGCTCCCCGCCTCGGTTTGTTCTAAAGCAGGGCAGAAAGAAGCCACAGCCACCCCTCAACTTCAGCAGCCCCCCTGGATCAAACATTCATTTGCTTTCCGCTCCTACTTGAGCTCTTGCTCTACAGTGGGAATGTATTAAAAGGCTGTGCTCCGGTGCCCAGAAATATTAAGTGCCTGAAAGGTTTATCGTGCATTAAGCAATTCATTTTTTTTTTATCCCATTATTATAATGAAACTTCCCATTGTATTGCTGTCCTCTCTTTGGAACCGTTTCACTTTAACACTTTCCATCACCGAGGCTGCTCAGCACTGAAGATATGTTTTATTCCCCCTCCTCTCCCCAAAAAAATAAAGAGAAAATGAGGCCACGAGGAGTTGTGCTAATGGAGGCTTTTAATTTGCACTTCTCAGAAGAGATAGCTCTGTGGGGTGAGATCCTTCTTCCAAGAAGCTGGGGCTGCAAACAGGCACGGGGTTTATTGGCTTTGCAGTTCGTTATTTTGGCTGCTGGGGGCAGGGAATGGTGGGGTCCTCAATGCTGATTTGTTTCTGTTTTTTTCCCCTTGTAGCACGGTTAGAAATGCAAATGTAAGCAAAGCAGGCGCTGGCACATTCAGCACAGCAGATCCGAAACAAAAGCAATTTTGGTTAAAGCTCCCAAACGCAGTTTCAGCCCGGTTCTAATAAAGCAGCTATTCCATAATTAATAATTGATGGAATAATTGATCACCAGGCAACCGGACAGGACGTCCTATTAAGCCTCAGTAAATATTTTTCATCGGGTTAGCACTGAGATAGATGTGCAATTTAACAGACAGCAGGAGAAGTCTCATGGAAGGAGGCAGCTCCGCTCCCCTCATTTCTCTTTCATTTCCTAAATTTCCCCCCCTCCACTCCTGCTCTCAAATGTCAAAAAAAAAAAAAAAAAAAAAAAAAAAAAAAAAAAACCACCCAAAAAAAGATAATTAGGGCAAATGCCATTTCATATCCCCCAGGCACCCCCACCTGCCACAAGGTGGGCACTTCCCCCAGTCTGCAGATGTGGCGACGGACGTCCAGAGAGGTAATTGATGAGAGAAGCACAATTAAAAATTCCCACGGACCTGGAAATGGGCAATTCCTTTATGTAACATCGATTGATTGTTGTCACAAACGCCCTGCGATTTAACTGCCCGCACTCCATGCGGCTCCTTGGCTTTCTATTTTAATTGCATCTATAGCAGACTTGGTTTAGAGTATTACCTCCATAGATTTGGATAGCATTCACTTAATCTCCAACTTTAAATTAATCTCTAATCTTTAAGTGTGCATCTCTCCTTGACATACTTCTCCCACGATCCCCCCCCGAACGGCCCCCCCTTCCCAATCTGATTCATATCAAACCACTGGGTTACACTTAATGCAACATTCCTAGAGGGAAGGCTGTGATTTTTAAAGCGTCGCTGGATTTACCCAGCCTGATGGGATTAGAACATCGCTCTAAGTAGTCCCGGAAAAGCGGGCTTAGATGCACAGAGCTCCCCGAAGTAGCGCCGCGGGGTCGCCGTCCGGGGCTGGGAGCGGGGATGCTGCGCCCGTCGGTCCGCAGGTCCCGGCGCCTACGGGAGCGGCACCGACCCGCACCGTGCGCTCCTCCGGGCCAGCCCGAGAGTCCCGGAACGCCGCGCAGCCGAGGAGGGATGGGTGGGAGGGGGGAGAAAAGGAGGAGGGGGTTCGAACGCGGCCCGAGGGAGCCCACCGCCAGCCCGCCGCCCAACCCGTGCGGACGTACCTTTCCGCAAAGAGTACAGCAGGAAAAAAGTTACCAGCCACATGCCATAAAGAGCACCTATGGCCCCGGGGTGCGGCGCAATTGCGGACGGTGCGGTGCCCCCGGCGTGCCGCGCTCCCTGCCGCCGCGCTGCCAGCCAGGTTGAGATGCCCAGAGCCGAGCTCGCAGCCGCTCCTCCTCCCCTCTCCCGGCGAGTGGCGTCGGGAGGGTGGGCCGGGCTCCCGCGCACTCCCCGCCCCCGCGCCCCGCTCCCCGCCGGGCCCCTCCGCGGCCGGACACGGCCCGCAGCTGAGCCCCGCCGCTCGCCCGGAGCGCTCCTCGACGTCCCGGTTCCCCCCCCACGTCCGAGAGGGAGCGCATGTCTTCCCCGCGCTTCCTCGGGCCGGGCCGCGTTTTGGGAGGGCGGCTGGTGACACCCAGCCCTTATGCAAGCAGGGGGTGTGTGCTCGCGCGCGCCCTTCCTCTGCCCACCCCGGCTGGTGGCACGCACCGAGCCCGGCGCTGCGCTCACACCTGGGCAAGCGCGCAACGCCCCGCACCTCCGACCGCCCCGCAGCGCCGGGTGCGAGCGATCGGGTCAAGCGACGGCCGGGCCGTGCCCGTCACGCTCCGTAAAGCTGAGCGCAGCTCCATCGTCTGCAAAGCTCAACTTCACCTTCGTACAGAAGGGTTTCCCCTGGGGTGAGCCGTGTCCCGGCTGCAGAGCTGCTCCTCAAGGCAGCGTACTGTGCCTGAAACACGGCTGGCAGCGCTCCTCCTCCTGGAAACCCCTTAGCAGCCCAGGGACAAAATCGGATTTACAGGACAAACAGCACCAGCACTCAGTGATCCCATAGAATAGGGCCTAGAACCTCACTGCACCAGCATCCCTCCAGCCAGCACATACGCACCAGGCCATGCTGTATTTTGGGGTGTGTTTAATCCAAGGCTTAATTGATTGACTAACACCAAAGCCAATTTGACTGGACCATTAGAGGAGTTCAGGATGTCTTTTCTTGGAGTGATGACAAAGGTTTCTCTTTGCTTTCCAAAGCAACCTATTCAACCCCAATTTGTTGAGAAATAAACAGAAAGAATGAAGCAACAGTGAATAGATAAAAATATGCACTGTCTTTACTTTAAAGAAAAAAAAAAAAAAAAAAAAACTGTTTAGGTTTAGAAGAAAACACATCTCACAGCAAAAACAATTAGAAATGCAGCTCCTTGGATATTTTCAACCTGCTCCAGCTCACCGCAGTCCCTTCCTTCATGGAAGGGCTTTGAGAGAATCAGACACCTCTACCCCCCGAGGTGCCCCCTGCAGTGTGCTGACACCACAGCCCTTCCTCCTCCTCCTCCCTGAGGCAGTGCTGTATCACCCTCAGTGCTGGCGGGATCCATCACCCCCCCACACACAGCACTCTGTCATCACGTGTGGGTGTCCCCACATGCAGCCCTCCCTGCACCCCAAAGCTCTGGCTGACACCCACCCTGCACCCACACATCGCCCAGGGACTGAGGTGTATTTCCACCCCCTGCTCCACCTGTGTACAGATGTTCGCTGACATCCAGCAGGGAAATTGGGATTCTGGCCCATACTCAAGGCTACAAGCAAGTCCCAGGCCCTAGAGAGTGCCAGCCACATGCCAAGCATCTTCCCCTTCCTCCCCCAGCAGCTGAGCAGAACCTGCTGATGGAACCTTCCTCCTGCTATCAGCACACTGCTGGTCCCAGGTGCAGCTTCTGTCCCCTGCAGTGAGGGAGGGACCATGGGGCACTGACTGAGAGCCCACCCCTGGGCTTTGCCCCCACACTCAGAGAAAGAGGCCTCCCACAGCGCCCACATGCGAGCCCTCACAGAAGTACTGGTGTGTCTCCTTCACGTCAGCACTCAGCCCAGAAAGCTGTTGCCCTACTAAGAGCCGCCCCACTGACAGAATGTGAGCATCACACACCTCATGCAGCCCCTCTCCACTTCAGCACAGAACGCATACAGAAGGGCTGGCACACTTGTATCCTGGTGAAGGAGTTGCTTTGTCCAAAGCAGCCTTACCTGGCTGCAACTTTTTTGCTCTGGGGTTGGACAGCATTTATACTCAGCTCCTGGATACCCCCTAAGCTCACACATCCATTATTCCACTGGGTGCTTCGCCCAAACACACAGCCTGCACGTAGACACTGAGGAGCACTGCAGAAAAGCAGCCTTGCATCAGACCCACAGCTACAGCCACATCTGAGGACCTCTCTCAAGGAAACAGCCAACACACAGCCCTCTCACCCCACATCCCCCAGCCGCTCTCCCAGACAAATCCCATAGAGGAAGCACTCATTAAAACAGCAGGGCTACTTACAGGATTTCCACAGGATGCTTCCGATGCAGTGAGGGGCTTAACCTGACAGCACCCCTGCATCCAGGGAGGCAGCCCACTGTGACCCCAGCCTGCCAATTCTGAGAGCCCCCCACACACTGCCTCTATCCTGCACAGAGATCCCCAGTACCACCACACAGAATTCTTAGAGCCCTTGGGACTAAATTGCAGGATGGGCTGCACCTGCACCCATGCTAACTGCATGCACCTGGGTGCTAAAGGGGCACAGTCCTGTGAGTCTTCTCAATATGGGGAGGGGGCTGCAGGCCCTGGGTGCCCCAGGGATGGCTCGGTGCTGCACTGTGTCAGGGAGCAAAGCTCCCACCCCGCTCCGTGCTTCAGTTTCCCCCGATGGATCGAGCAGACCTGCAGCGGGAGGGCCAATGCCGGCGGCTTGCAGCCGTGTGTAGAGGTTGGTATCACCTCGATCAGACCGAGAGCAGCGGGCAGCGCGCTCCGACAGCTCTGTGCCTTCTGAAGTATGCTCCGAGCTGCACGAAGCGCGGCTTCTGCCTCCCCCTAGTGCCGCCGTGCGGAGCGGCGGGCCCGGCCGGGAGTCAGCAGGACCCGATCAGCTCCGAGCAGGGCTGCGAGGACCGCTCTTCGCTTCCCAGCTTCGTCTCAACGCCAAACCCGTCCGGAAAGCACAGCCCATCTCTCCTGGCTGCCCGCTATGCGGCTCAGCACCTGTGCCGTGCGGGCTCTGGGCTGGGCAGCTGCCCCGGTATGAGTGATACACCCTAATAAGCCCTGCTCCGGAGCGTGCCCCACAGGGGGGCGAGAGCTGAAACATGATTTGTTTCACTTGGGAGGATAATTTCAGCCCGTGGAGCCGCTGCTGCTCTGGCAGATCCGCTGCTGTTGATGGATGCGCTGCCTTTTCCGGAGCAGAACAAAGGCAGAGCGAGGCGTGTGGCTGGCACCCCGCCAGCCCGGCCCCGTCTCTCCACATCGTCAAGTGTTCCTCCTTGGCTCCATTAGTCACCATTTGCTGCTCTCCTGTTTTAGCTCATGAGGAGACATTTTGCATTCGCTTTTCCTCCCGGGCCAAATGCAACCCCGGCACCGCGGCGATGGCAGAGCGGCACTGATAGGCTGGGCACGATGAGCGCCCCGCATCCCTGGCTGCTGCCCCAGTGCCTCACCTCTCACATTTACAGTGCATTAAGCACCAAAACTGTCCGAGCCACAGCCCGTCAGAGCGCCTCTCCCTGTGCCTGGCAAAGCAAATGGTGAGTGGTGCCAAGCTGCTCTGAACTAGATGCTTCCCAGAGGAAAAGGGCGCTCCGGTTGCCCACTGTATTATTTACCCAATCCCCTTTGTGTCACAGAAAAGATTTACTCTGAGCAGATTAATGGCTCAAGGCACAGTGTGAAAGAAATCCCCCAAGATTGCCTGGTTCAGGGCAGAAGGCGAGTGCCTGCTCACCAGGGCCAGCAGCTCCTGGCCGTGCCATGGGGTCGTTCCTGTGGGCACCCCCAGAGAGGTGAGCGGAGTGGGGCAGGAGCCTTTTGCTGGATAGACATGGGAGCAGGGCAACCCAGCAGAACGCCGTGGCTTTTTGGTGTCCCCAACCCGTGGCAGAGTCCCTGAACCCCAGCCAGGCGTGCAAAGGGCTGTGTGAGCATACGTGCACACGTGTGTGTCTGCAAGCCGTGCAGAATAATGCTATTAATGCCATCTGGTGCCGAGACACAGATCCCCTGTGCAGGGAGCAGACACGGCTTTTTGCTCCCATTAATCTGCTCCCACTGTGCCTCTTGAAGTGGATATGTGGGGGTCTCTCTCTCGGGGCTGATGCTGGGGGATGTGTACCCTGAAGGCATGGCTGCCCACGAGCTACGGCACAGCCAACACGGGGAAATGGGAGCCTGGAGGGCACATGGCACAACTGAGGGTCCTTCCTCGTGCCAGCTGCTCTCCTGGCTGCTGTGCCCTCTGCTCCTTCTGCAGGAGGACACAACCACACCGCACCCTCAGGCTGTGGGGTTTGGGAGCTGCAGCAGGGAGAGAGGCCAGGGCTGCAAGCAAAGCCTTTGGCTCGTCTGTGCTGCTGCAGGGGAGCTGCTCCCCTCTGAAGGTTCCTGCTTGAACCGTGCAAAGCTGCACCAAGCCTTTATTAGTGAGTCAGTGTCAAAACAAAATTATATTTCCAAATAATCTCCTTACCGTGTTAAATAAGCGCCTCAGATTATACAAATTGCGCGGATTTTGTCTAATAACCTTCCCCTGGCTAATCCTATTTTACTGTCAGTGTCTGACCTCGATTTAAGCCCAAACGAAGCAGGTGAGGCAGTTTCTCCTCTGCCAACATCATAGGGAGGAGGGGAGTTTGAGTTTCCAGAACACAGAGCAATGAGGGCTTAAACCCACAGAGAGCTCTGAGTCCAAACCCGGTGCTCACTGCCTGAACTGTTCCCCACAATGCACCCCACGCCCTGCTGCTGCTGGGATTGCTTCCTCTATTCCCCTTTCTGTGCAACTTCTATTCTCTGCCTTGGCTCAAAGCTTGTTCCATCACTCCCAGGTGCACCCCCAGCTGCAAAGCCCTCAGGGGCAGAAGAACAGGGGCAGCACTGCGGGGCTGCACGCAGCCCAGAATCAGAGCAGCAGGGCACAGCGCAGCGGCAGCGTGCTGCATGGCGGTCGCTAGGTGTCTGCCTTGGTCCAGCACAGAACTCACAGCCAGCTGCACGCCTTGCTCAACAATTGCAGGAAAGGGATTTTTTGGTTTGCATCCAAAGATGTGAAACCGATGCACAAATTGTTTCCTGTCCCTGCGCAGGAAGGATGTTTGGAGCAAGCGGTCCGAGATAAGCAAGCGCACTGACAGCCCCTCCCCAACAGCACTGACCGTGTGTGCAGGGCACCGGCCAAAAACACAGGCAGTGCATCCCATGAGGAGGGCATGTGCTGAAAATTTGGGCCCCACAGCCAGCCCTCGTGCTGGGCAGGAAGGCACTGGGGTGTTTGGGCTTGGGGACATCCTTCCCTCTGTGGGACCCAATGCAGATGGGGTTACTGTGTGCCACTGGGCCGTGCTGTGTTGGAAGATGCCTGCAGGGCAGAAATTCATTGGTGCTGGGCCAGGAAAGTGGGCAATTCAGAATGTCTCGGGTACAAAGTTTAACCTCTCTCAGCTGGAACTTTATTAGCTAAGAAACACTCGCTGGATCTACCAGAGGGGAAAGCACGAGGGCAATTAGCATCCCAGCCTTGCCCAGGGTGAGCAGGATAATGAATGGATGCATTGGAGCGGGGCAAGGGGTGGCCTTTGGCAAGGACTTCACAGCTGTGGATGAAGCTCTCCTCCCACAGCAACTCTGGAACCAGATGGAGTGGAGGGTCACAGTTCGTCCTCGCACCGCTCCCCCCAGAGCAGGTGCCCGTGTGGCTCTCAGCACTGCCCTGAGCCACGCAGCCCCAGGTGCCTCCTCCTGCAGCCTACCTGCAGCTACAGGTCCTCCTCATTTCCTTGTCTGTGGATGGAAAAGTGAGGGGAGACGCATTACCCTGGGCAGCATCATGGGGAGGGGCGGGAGGACAAGCCGGTCTCTGTCTTTGCAGCCAGCAGGAGAGATAGGGCTGCCTTAAACCCGAGCCATACCCACCTCCTCTTCTTCTTCCCTCCGCAGTGGAACCGCCGGCCTGGGGTTGAGAGGAGCAGATGAGGCTTCTTGTGCCCACAGCCCCTCCCCATCTCCCTCCTCATCTCCCATGAAGGCTGCAGGGCTGTCCGCACTCTGTGCTCAGCAACGCCTGAGTGCTCTCCTGGGTGCCCATCTGCCTCCCCACGCTGCTCCTACGGACGCAGGAGCTTTGCTTATCTTTCTCCCTAAAGCACTCGGGAATGTCGTGGTAAGAGCAGCTTTGCAGAGAGCCCTGCACGCTTGGCACCGCGTCCCTGGGAGCTGCCAAGGGCTGTGGGAATGCTGCTTTCTCCCTAGGGAAATGTCAGACTTTTTCTCTGCTATTTTTAATGACTGACCTTCCCTCCGAAGCCTTTGACGCTGGCAGGGAAACGCTAAATATTTACAGCGTCTCCTTCCCAACTCACTTTGTGTCGGGAGTTGGCCTGGGTGGAAATTTCTCAGGCGGCTGCGGGTGATGCCCACCCTGGCAGCAGGACTGACACCCCGGGAGCAGAGAGGAGCCCCGTGCAGGGCAGCACTTACTGAGGATGATGAGGAGCCCGATCACAAAAGCCACGACGGCGAAGATCAGCCCCCCGTGGCGGATGGTCTCATAGTCTGGGGGGAAGGATGGGAGCTGCAGCATCAGCCTGGGTGTGTGGAGGTGGGCTGCCAGCCCCCCCACTCACAGCCCCACACCTCATGGGCACCCACTTACCGTAGGTGAACCTGTCCGGGCCCTGCTCGGGTGCTTGTTCTGGAAAAGACAAAACCCAATGGGAGCCTGAGCCTGGGAGCTGGGCTCATAGTGGGTGCCTGGGCAGGGAGGTGAGGTGGAAAAGCTGAGAGCTGCAAGGAAGAGTGCTTTGATTTCCTTCCCGATCCAGTAAAGGATTCCCAAACTCTTGTTTTTCACCCCAACTCACCGTGTGCTCACAGGATGCATTTGCAGACGCACGAGACTTGAACTAAGCTGCACACAAGGACCCGGAGCACCGAGCACCCCATGGGCTGGCACTGTCATCGTGGCTGTGCCACTCTGCGAACCACCTCACCTGATGGCACGTCCCTCGGCAAGGAGAACTCAGACTGCAGAAATGCCCTCCAGAAGCTGAATGCTGTCCGGTGCCGGTGCCCCAGCAGGCTGTGGGGCTTCGAGGACCCATCCCTGCATCTCTCCCAATGAAAGCTGCCCCCACCCTGATGACAGGAGGGTCCTGTGCTCCTGTGTGTTCCCCGCTGCCCGCAGCTCCCTTACCGTCCCCCATCGCGCCGGCGTGCCGTCCAACGGGCGTCTGGCTCTGGGAGTGGGCACCCAGGGGAAAGCATGGTAATTGGGAGGCAAACCTCATTAAACATTAACGGCCTCGGTGTAATGTTTATCGCAGTCACGAGGGGAGGCCCAGGGCTCCTGCCTGCCTTTGGGAGGGAGGGCCTGGGCAGAGTGCCCCTGTCTCAGCTGGGAGGAGGGCTCGGATGCTGGGTGGGAGTGAGAGAAGGGTGACAGCAGTGCCAGGTCCCTGCAGTGCCAGGTCCCTGCAGCAGCCCGATCCCCCGATGCCCCAGCCATCACTAAACCATCCCAAGGCACTCGCTGCACACCAGCGTGGCATTGCTGGTGCCAGGATGCTGCACCCCCCAAGCTGTGCCACCTTGGTGGCGAGGCTGGCTGCCAAGCAGACTGCTCCATCCAGTTAGCCCTAATCTCACCATCAGCGAGTGGGTGCCCAAGCTGCTCAGTGCTGAAGGAGCTGAGAAGAACTGGCCCAACAGAGCAACCCCCTGGACATACCCGGGGCTCAGCTCCAACTCATCCCAGGAGGTGCACATAGGGCAACACAGGCATCCGAGGTGCCATGAAGCCCAGCGTCGCTCAGCACCCCTCTCTCAATGCACCAATGGCTCAGAAGGGATGTGTCCCAAAGACCAGGGGACAAAGAGGCCCTGTGCCCATGCTGCTGGGCTCACTGTTCATGCAGCTATTGACTCTGGCTATTGTTGAAACTGCTGCTGGCTGCAGAAAAGAGCGCGGCACGGAGCAAGCTCAGAGTGCCTGCCCACTGCCAACACAAAGCCCTGTCTGTGCTGCCCGGGGGGCCGCTGCCACCTCCCCCAGGGAGCCAGGCTGGCTGCCTCGCTGCCCAGCACAGGGCACAGTGTGGGAAGGGCTCAGCCCTTGCTTTGCTCCATGCTTGCCCCCAACCTCTGCACACTACGCAGTCAAACACCGGTAGAAATGCTGTTTTATTCCTTTCCCCCTCAGATCACAGCACAGAACACACCAGTCCTTCACCACAGCAGCACGCTCGCCTATTTAAAAGGAAACACAATAGCTCTGTTTATTTGACAACAGTCAAAAGTCTGGCTGTTTCTACACAACCACGGGGTTTTCTTTGTTTAGTGTTAACACCAACGGAACGCCACAGACACCACGGGCACTCCAACACCGACACTGGGACAGGCACACAGCGACGCACTGGGCTGCAGGGCACGGGGGGCTGTGCCCAGGGACAGATGGAGCAGCGACAGCCAGGAGGGAGGGACACAGTACACAGGACCCCTCTCACAGCCTCCAAGATGCAGAGAGTTTTGCTCCCACACCAGCACAGCCGCAGGTTCCCAGTGAGGCTCTGCATGGATTTGGAGAAGCCACCAGGAGCAGAGGGCTTCTGGACACGGGGGGGTGACCTGAGCCCACGGTGGCCAGTGGGTGTGCAGAGCTCTGAGCATCGCTCCCTGCTGCTACTGAGTCCTGGGGCTGAGAGCATGAGGGGTGACAACACACAGCCACTGGGGGACACGGACACAGGGTGGGCACTGGGAGGAAGTATCCCTGCCCCTTCCTGCTGGAGGTGACCAGGACAGGGGCTGAGCTCAGCGTGTGTACGGTTCAGCTCCACCCCAGCAGCACACGGAGCATTGGTGAGGAGCGGTTGGTGCTGGCTGGTGGGGTCACCACTGCACAGCCGTCCTCGTTCACAGTGACACGGGATTTCACAGCCCTCTCTGCACTTTGTCCCATTTAATGCAGCACGGCGCACTGGGATGGAATTGGGGAGCTCTGAGCAGAGGAAATGGGGGCTGTGCCAGAGGGGTCCCTGCAGCCCTGAGCCCAGCACTGTGGGGCACCTGGCACAGCCCAGCCCTGGGTTTGGGGCCAGGGGGATTATTGCTGAACAGGCAATGAGTGCTGTGCTCCCTTTCTCTCCCAGCCATGCTATGGCCGGCTGCAGTCCCAGAACAAATGGAAAAGCCACCAGAATGCTGCTGGTCTGTGCCAGCAAGCCAGCTGGGGGGGAGCCACATGTGCTTGGTCCCAGCCTCACCATGTGCATGCATGTGTAGGCACTCAGCAATTTCCTAAGGGCTACGGTGCCTAGGCTGCAGTAAGCTGCATGCACCACCACAGCCAGGGCTGTCCGTGCCCTGCAGCTTCCATTGCCAGGGCCGGGAAGGAGCAGGGGAATTGACGCAGCACCATGGAGGCACACGGTGCTTCGCAAACACCCACGATGCTGCTCACCCCCTCCCAGGTCCCCACAGGACCCAGGGCAAGCCAGGGGTCCGCCATGCCCAGCCCACATCACACTCACAGCACGAGGAAGGTGAGGAGAGAGTCACTATTACAACATCAGCAACAACTAGCCCTAGAGGTAATGGTCACCTTACATTAACATACACAGCACTGGAGGCAGAGAGGACAGTGAGTGGAGTTAAGTCAGGTTAGTGGATAGAAAACCGGTGTTGAAGTACAGAGGGTAACACAGACACAGCAGCTTTGCATCTCCTCCAAGGGATCTGTTGCTGCGGGTTCAGTTTCCTGGCAGGCCGCTGGCACCTGCGTTCCGAGCATCTGTCCTCAAGTCTCTTGGTCTGCATGGGGAGGACAGCGGGGATCAGCTGGGCACACGCTGCAGCCCTGCCCTGAGTGGGGACAGAACATGCTCCTACCATCACAGTGACGCTTTATGAAAGCAGACCACAGCCCAGGAGCTCAGAGGAGCTCTGGCTGCAGGGTCTGTGGGCAGGCAGGAGGTGACGTGCCCCAAGGGATTTACGCACAGCTCTCTAGAAGCCCTAAAAATAAAACCACTTTGCAGTGGAGGAGCAGAAGGAAAGGGAGTGTACCCCAGGGGAAAATCCGGACAGATGCTTCCCTTTCCTGCTGTGCTGCCCAGGGCTTGCAGAGCTCAGGGCTCGCCAGCTCTGCACAGTGCCATGCCCCAACCGCAGCACCATGCTGAGGACACAGAGCTGCTCAGAGTAGGGGCCCCACAGCTGCCCTTGTGCACAGCCCCAGCTCCCCCTCCCTTCTTCCCCAGCACCCACGCTGGGACTCACTGCATGGCTCTGGTTCAGTTCTCTGCTTTCTGCGCTCCCGTTGCTGTAAAGAGAAGAGCAGAGCGGTTTGCAGAGCCAGAGCAAAGGCATTCTCCTATCCAGCACACATGGCACAAGGCAGCCTTACCATTTGAGGTGATCAGGTTCTCACCCTGAGCCTCTTCATCCCCCGGAGCTCTGCAAGGAGAAGAGCACAGTGAGAGCAGCTGGCACTGGCTGCAGCATGCAGGGCACACAGAGGAAGGTGCTTCCAGTGGCATGAGCACCCAGGGCTGTGCAGCAGAGCATCTCACTCACCTGGGCTTCTGGTGAAAACTGCACCTGCACCTCCTGCCTGCAAGGGGACAAAAATACCATGAGTGTGGGGATAAGCCATGGCTTTTCCTGATGGCTGCCCCAGCCCAGCCCCTGAGCACTGCGCCCCAACTCACTGAGTATGAGAAGGATGCCGACAGTGAACAGAACCACGGCAAACACCAGCCCACCAATCCGCAGGCTTTGGTAATCTGTGGAAAGGAGAGAGACACGTTTCTGCTGGGCTCAGGGAAGGGGAGCATCTTCTGCTCCTCACTGCACATGCACAGCAACACTCACCATAGTTAAAGGGGTCTTCCTCCTTCTCTTGGGTGCCCACTGGAAATAAGCAGACAAAGGATGTAATGTGAACATACTGAAGGGTGAAAAATTCCACCCTCTCTGCCCAGGGAGGGGATTGCCCCTGCAGGCTGCTGTGCTCAGAAGCACTGTACCCACCATCCGCCGCAGCTGCCGACACCAGCAGGGAGCACAGGACGATCAGCACCGCCTCCATGGCTGCAAGCGAGAGGGAGGAGCAAGGTCAGTGCCCAGTGATGGGGACATGGGGAGGGCTGCCCATCACACAGGAATGGGGAGGGTGACAAAGCCCCAGCAACCCCAGTTGTGATGTCTGATACCATCACCATACCCCAGTTCCTACGCCTGGTGTCATCACCATACCCCAATCCCAATGCTTGGTGCCAACACCATACCCAGCCCCACCAGCTGGCACCATCACCATACCCAGCCCTGATGCCTGATGCCATCACCATACCCCAACCCCAATGCTTGGTGTCATCACCAGACCCGGACCCATTGCCTGACGCGATCACCGTATTGCCCACCCTGATGCCTGGTGCCCATAACCCTCCAGCATTTCACACCTAGCAGGTGCAAAGGATGTGCCAGTAGGGTGGGAGTGGTGAGCTGAGCATTGCTTCGTGTGGAGTTGTGAGTTGCCTCTCACAGCTTCTGTTGCCTTCCGTGCTGCCAGGGCCAGAACAGAACCCCAGGGGTGCTGACCCCACTCCTGGCCGATGTCAGCTCAGCCTCAGGGTGGTGCCACATGGAATGGGGTGAGTGTGAGGGCTGCAATGCCTCCATCAAGGTCAACGCTGCGTCCTTCACCCAGAGCATGCTTTAATTTGTCCCAATTAGCATAGCAATTACATTCTCACGATGAGGCCTGTGACCCTGGCACTAGTGGCTGCACTTGCCACCCTCTCCCCCTCCACTCACCTGCAGCAGCAAGGAGGTACTATGAATAACCCGGGTCCTGGTGACAGATGAGCTTGTCCCTGTCCCTTACAGGGCTGGGTGGTGCAGAGCACAGCAAGGAGCTGCACAGGGCTCCTGCTCCCACACCTCCACAGGGACACTGGGGATCCTGCACCCTGAGCACTGCTGCAGCCTCAGCTCTGTGGATGCGGCTCCTCCGAGGGACTGGGAGTGCTGAGGTAGATCTGACGCTGACCCTAACCCCACAGCACGCTGCTTGCTTGTGTCCCGTTGCTGCCAGGCAGTCACCAAGCAGCCAGCAGTGCAGCCCTACCTATCTTTTTTTCCATTGGGGAGCAGTAGAGACACTCCTGGGGGCAAAGCAAAGAGGTGGCACTGCGCTACACACTGGGGGCACAGAGCAGGGGACATCCCCAGTGCCGGGTGGGCCAGGTGCCAGCTCTGGGCACACACTGTGGGCTCGGTGGCCATACATGGTGCAGAGAGCAGCTAGCTGCAGGAAGGGGTTATCAACCCTGCACAGCCCCGATAGCACCGTGCCGCAGAGGCACCGCAGCTGCTGTGCTGGATGAGTGCCGACAGGAGAGGGGCCCACAGCAGAGCAGGAATTCAAGGGATGCGGATCCCTGGCATCGGGCTACGCAGCCCTGTGGAGCCTGACCTGCTTTAGGGACAACCTCTGTTCCAGAGACGGGCAGGTGTGGGCGCAGGGCCCCCAGATCCCCAAGTGGAGCAGTTGTGTGCCCAGAAACGGCGCCCAGAGCCAACCCCAAGAAGTCAGGGCAGGGACCCATGTTTCCACAGCCTCATTAATTCACCATTCCCAGTCACATCCCGTGACAACTCGCGTCCTTCCCTCCCTTCTCACGTCCTGTCATTTGGAAGCAAATGCGCTTCATCCGAACGCCGGAGGGTTTAATTTCCCCCTCCTGCAGCTGCCACTGCCTTTGTGCAGCACGGGCTGCACTGCCACGCCGCTGCCCAGGCAGCTCCCTCGTTTGCTCAGGCACGTAACTCTGGATAATTACCAGGTTTTAGAAGCGTGCACAAAGAGCCCAGCAGCTGGTGATACAGTAACTTCTAGTTGCACATTTTCCCGTGTCCTTTATCTCATGGCCTCTATCTATTTTCAGTGTAGGCAGACGGTGCCAAATCAGTGGCATTACCCAACAGGAGGCTGCTGGGGGCATGTGGACGTGGCGCAGACCCCCACGCAGGCACTGTGTGTGCTACTCTCAGCCCTCTGCTCACTTTTGGGCTTCTCGAGCATGGCAGAGTTCAGCTTTTCGCCAAGCCAAGCAACACAGCACACATATGTTCTTTGTTTTCCTAACTCCCTTCTGGAAATTCACACACTTCTGCACAGCACAACGTTGCTCCGCACACGTTAACCACCAGGATTGGCAGTGGCCTCGCTGGGAAAACAAACACCACATTCTGGAGTGCAGATGAGCCCGTTTCTCCTCCAAGGAAGCATATGCTTTGCAAATCATCCCAGGTTTTTGGGTTCTTTTCAAGCTGGCCCACCCACTTCTTTGTGAAGCTGAAGTAAAGTGAGAAGAGCAAACACTGCCCGGGGTTTGCCTTCCTCCCCGCCTGCACCATCAGCTTGAAGCGCTCAGGGCACTGAAGCTGCTGCCCACTGCCCTCCATTCACACCAGACCCAGCAGCGTCCTGCACACAGCACGGCCACTGAGCAGTGGGGACCAATCCGTCTCCCCCAGCACTGGTGTTAAGCTGCTGATCACTGAGCCGTGCAGCCGTGTAAACCTCCATGTAGGGGAGTGCAGAGCGCTGGGCACGTGACTTGAATCAAAACATGTGTTGGTTTTGTTTTTTTTTCCTGTTAAAACGGATGGATCTGCCATAACAGAGAGCAGCACAGGAAGCAGGGCAGCGGCACGCAGGGCTCTCCTGCACCATCGCCGTGGGTCAGCCGTTTTAACAGCCGTTTTAACAGGGAATACCAATCCTTGTGCCCTCATCACCACCCCATACCCACCCCAGGGTGTCTGAGGCAGGCAGGCAGGGGGCTCAGCACCCGTATCCTGCAGGGCTCCAGCAACAAGGAGCCGGGCTCTGCCTGCTCCTGGGCAAGAGCCAAGGTGCTCCCACAGCACCCAGTGGGATACGAAGGCAGGGTGTAGCTGGGGAGAGAGGAGAGCAGGGAAATCCCCAGCAGGAAGACCCAGCTCGCTGAGGAGCTCTCCGAAGCCCTGCCAGGGCAAGGCGGGTACATTTGTAATGGTCTCCAGTCTAGAAGCACCCTTTCCCTTTTCATTGTTTTGCATAGATCAGCCCTGTCAAGTCTCAGCCATCACCGCCCAATGCTGGGCAGCCTCCCTCCGTCAAGAGCCCTGGGGGCATCTCCTGGAGATCAGACCTAGTTAAAATCTCCAGTTTCTGTGCAAAGCCCCAAGACGGTGACAGCAGTGCTCAGTTGCCTGAAGCATTTAGGAGTGTGCATGTGTGAATGGACATTTCCAGCTACGCATAGATGTGCTCTTCTGCCATCTCACGTCAGCATCAATCTGGCTATTAATGTGCCTGTCATGCCTCTTCTTCCTAAATGAGAGGAAGGAGGATTTCCAGCCCCCACCGCTCCAACATGGACATCACTTCCCAAATTTGGTGATGATTCAGAGGTTGGCCGGGTGGAAGACAAAACCGACCTGCCTAACATCAAGCTGTCTCTTGTGCATATCTCCCCAAAGCAGGGAATATTCAAAGGAAACCCTCTCTGGGATCCCGAGGAACAGACTTATGCAGACCCCATAGACCAGCCATGACCCTCTGGATGCTCACAGGAGCACACGGTCACAGGGGATCACTGCAGACAGCCCACACCCTGTGCTCTCTCACCAAGCTTGCCACCTGCAAGGTTTCACCCAGCCCTGAAGCACCCAGAAACCCACAGCCACCTCCCCCAGCTTGTTCTCTGCTCATTTGCTTAACAGATAACCAGGTGCTGTGGAGCTGAAATTTGCAAACACACCAGTCTGAAGCACACCCAGCACTCTGCAGCCCTCGCTGCACCTCAGCCAAATCCTGGGCTCTGCTCACTGTGTGCGGACAGCCAGGTACCGAGCACAGGTCCCTGTGCCTTGTGCCAGTGCTGCCAGGCTGTGAGGAGGGACGGCAGGCACGGGATGTCTCCATAGTGGTGTGCACAACAGCTGCAAAAGCTCGGAGGCTCTTTTACAGCCCAGAATCACTCCAACCTCCCGAAAGGCAAACAGAGAACACAGCTCCGTGTAGAGCTCCCAGCTCACTGCAGCATGGAGTACGTGAAGAGTTCCTCCATGCTGAAGTCTGAACTCCTGACAAAAGCGTGACTCTCCGCAAACGAGAAGGGAACTAAAATTAAAACACGAACGTGGAACACGAGCAACACGAGGGGCAGCAGCAGGCAGCCCTGCGCCTGGCCGGGACGGGGTGTTTCCTGGCAAGGCGACTGCAACAGGTGGCCCTGCTCTGCAGCGACTGCACTTTCTGCTGGCAGCACTCCCCATCACCCCGCCTCACGCTGCCACCCAACACATGGGCAGTTCCTTGAACTTCTCTTCATTGCAACCAGAGCAAAATCACTCGGTGGGGCTGAAAATCCCGATGGGTGCAGGGGACGGCTGCGTGCTGCCATGCACGTGTAGCTGTTCCCACGGGGCTGCTCCTTCACGTTGCAGAGCTTATTCACATCCACACAAACCACCTGTCACTTTCCCTCCCACAGAAATATTTCTGCAAGATCCGAGTTCCGCCACATGGACTCTGATATCTGTTTCTTCGGGAAGCACTAATTACACACCCGGAGACACGCTCTTCCTTTCCTCTCGTCTGCCTTCCCAGGATATAAAGCACTCAACTGTTTATGTATTGCCACGGCATTACTAAAATATTTAACAACATGAGCCTGAACGTTGCCAAATATTTGGCGAGGAGCAGCCGCCTCCCTTTTCCTCGACGGCTGCACGGGGCGCAGCGAGCAGGGACAGCCCAAGTCCCCCCACGGTGGTCTCCGAAGGAGACGGGAGATCCGCCCGAGCGTCTTCCCAGCACGGGGGGCTGGTAACCAGGCAACGGTGGGATGAGGGAAACCATGGTACCCGGCGTTGTCATGGCAGCCGCCAGGCCGGGGATGCGGGCGGCCTCGAGGCGAGGGGCGATGCCCCGGGCACCCATCGGGCAGCGCCCCGACGGCACGGCGGATCCCGGGGTACGGCTCGGGAGGAGCGCCCCGCGGCCACGCAGGACGGCCCCCTTCCCACCATCCGGGCCGCGCCCGCCGCACCCACCTGAGCTCTCCGGGCCGGAGCGGGGCAGCGCAGGGCAGAGCCGGGTGGAGCGGGGCCGGGGCCGGCGCTCCCCGCTGCTCCGGGCGTGCTGAGCAGAGCCGAGCCGGGCGGTGCCGAGCAGGAGCCGGGCGGGCGGCGAGCGCGGCGAGCAGGGAGCCGCACAAAGCGAGCGGGGCGGGCCGGGCGGGCGGTGCCTGCCGTCGGGAGGGGCGGCGGCGGGGGGAGCCCGGGGCGGGGGCTGCGAAGAATCGGCCCCCAGCCCTCCGGGAGCCCCGCCGAGGGCCGGGCTGCGAGCGGGGACGGAGCGGCCGAGAGCTTCGGGGCGGGGGTCCCGCGGGGCTTTGTGCGGGGGGTGGGCGTGAGGGAGGGCGGAGGCTTTGCCTTCTCTCCCCGCTGCGGGAATGGGGTGGGAGGTGCGGGCGGGATGCTGGCACCGCTGGGCTGCTGGCACGCCCGTGTCTGCTCCGCTCCTGCTGCTGCTGCCCTGGAGAGCCATTTCCTCGTGGCAGAACACCTCGGCGGCGCTATCAGCGGTGACGTGGTTCGTCCCCTAATAACTCAAATGCATCTTGGACAGATACCAGCCTTACTGACAGTAATGGCACATATTCCACTTTGCATTAATTTTCCAGTTTCCAGTAAAATATAAAAGCAGCCCCGGCATTTCAAGGCAATTACACAGAAGGGTCAAGAGATAGAGGCCGGCACAGAGGAGCTGGACAACATCACATCTCCTAATGCATTGGGATAACATGACAAGGCTCTCCATCACGCCGTGGTAAGTGAGGCAGGGACCAAGCAGCCATAATCAGGTTTGGGGCTCCTCTGACTTTCTGCAGCCCTCAGCTGTTATCCTTTGCACACAGTGAAATATTTGGATGCCATGGCTGTGCCCGGGGGCTGCACTGAGGCTGGTGGGTATCTCTGGAGGTGTTTGCATCAGCTGAGAGATGCAGGCAGGCTGCAGCTCCCACAGCACTGGGCTTCTGTGCTTTCTCCTTCACTGGGTTTCTTTATTCCAGAGATACTCAAAGCATTGTCCAAAGTGAGCACAATTAAAAATTGGCACCATAGGCTTTTTGCTGCCTAAACTCAGGTGATATGAGAGCGTTGTGCACATGAGCAGCTCCTCTGGCTGTAGCAGCAAGAGTGCTCACAGAGCGGGAGAGTCTGGGGGAGCAACGACTTCTTTGGGGTCGACCCTTTTGTCAGTGCAGGGCAGGCTATGCTGATTTATGGTAACGAAGGGGCAGAGCTGAGCTGAGCTCCTCGTGCTGTTGGAGTCAGCAGAGCAGTGTCAGCAGCTCCACAAGGACATGATTTCATCACAGCAGGGAACATCGGAAGGGAGCAGCACAAGCGGGCGTCCTCCCAGAGAGCAGGAAGGAGCCACTTGGTCTCTTGAACTTTCCCCTCTGATTGAAGATCCTTCTCGGGGTTTTGGCCATTTCTCCATCTCGTGCAGACAACGCTCCGAGTGACGGCGCTGATGTTTCATCTGTGATGCAGCACGGGTCAGCAGCCCAGGACGGACGTGGGAGCTGTGGGAAGGTGCAGCAGAGCAGCTGGGAGCCCTGCATGCAGCTGGCCTTCGGTTTAACAGCATACAATGGGGCCTCAGTGCCACGCATTCCCCATGAGCTCAGACTTTCCTTGCTTGCAAAGCGCTGTCACTGAGCAGCACTGCCCCAAAATGCGGCCCCCCAGCAGCGCTCCCCGCTTTGCCGCCTGCAGCCCTGCACGCTGTGTGTCTTTTCCCAGCAGCCCTGTGTTAATTTTAGCTGTGCTGAGGCTCTGGGCAGGCAGCAGGCGTCCCGTCCCAGGAGCCTCAGAGCAAAGCAGTTTGCTGTGGTCTGAGAACTTAACCCTGGTTTGCGGGGGATTGGGACACGGCTGGAGCTGCCTGGCAGTGCTGGAGGAAGGGGAGGGTTCTGTCCACACCCCAAGCTCAGAGCAGAGCCATCAGACCTCCCTGCTTCCTAACACCAAGCCTGAAAACATTTGCAAACTCTTCCTGATCCTGCTCGGGGCCACTGGAGAGTTGAGCAGCGACAAAGGGGAAGGCTGTGCAGAGCCACATGGCTGCTTTTAACCCAGTAACATCCTCTTTCATTGGGCCTAAGCCGTTCCTTGTGCTTGGGAGGAACCAAGGAGGCAGCAGGCTGCATTAAAGCTGACAAAGCCTGTGTTCAACAGCAGCTCTGTATTGCCCAAGCTGAAGTTCGGCGATGCCGTGCCAAGAGATGATGCCAACCGTGGGAGGGAACCAATCCAAAGCTATGGGAAAAACATTTTTGAGAAGAAACATCACCTCTGAAACCACATAAACAAATCCATTTTGACACAACTAAACAGAGAGCTCTAAAAGGAAAGTTTGGGAAAAACAGCACTAATTGGGTGGTGATTCATATGGTGCCGGTCAGACTGTGTTTTTGTAATCTCCATTCCTGGGGGATGATTTTCAAAGCGCAGAGGAATGTAGAAGCAGCCTGGCCAGATGTGGGCTGGAAGACAGAGAGGAGCAAACAGTGCTGAGAGCAGAGGGGCAGCAGCAGAAGAGCCGGGGGCTCCCAGAAAAAACAGCAAAGTGAATGGGATCATCCCAAAGCAGGGCATGAGATGCTTCATCCACTGCCCTGTGCCAGCTGGGGGCAATGGGAGCAGGGCTGCTTTGCTCAGGTGTCCCAGTGCTGGAGGTGACGCTGTGCCCACAGCATCTGCTGCATCTGAGCTGTGTTTTCACTGGGAAGAGCAGAGCATAAAAGCCACGGCCAGGCAGCTGCATGAGAAACTAATCGCTTTTAATCTGGTTAGAAAACTTCAGCCCTTGGGGGAAAACAGCACAGCTTTCTGGAGCTTGGACCACTGGCTGTCAGGTTTGGAAGAAATAAATTAAATTTGTATTAGGGTCTGCAATCACTTCTCTGCTTTGAGAGGCTATTTCAGAGAGCAGGAGAGCAATAACCTGCGAGGAGATGAAATCCATAGCAGAGGTGCAGTTCCTCTGCGCACTGAAATGGCCCCATTACCAGGAATACAGTTCCAAAAAGATCAGCCCTTATTGGCCTCCAATTTTTGTTTTTCTTTTTCAAAAGATCTGTTTCTCCAGGACGCCGTCTCAGGTGGCAATAAAACGTTATGGGCTGCACACTCTGAGGAACACAGAGATCCCAGAGAGCCTTTGTACAAATGCGTGCCGGGTCTGTAACTCAAAACCCATTGAATTCCCTGCATTAAACAGGGGAGTCATGCAGAGGCCCTTCTCCAATCCCATCTCATCTGTCATGAAAAACCACTGCTTTCCATAACCTACAGCCGGCAAAGACAGAAAAAGGAGCATTTTTTCCCCAGCCTCTGTTTTTAGCTGTGGTTTTAACTGTGGTTTTCAGTGCTATCCAAACAGCAGCAGCTGTTGGATGCAACGCGGCAGCTCCAGCTCCACGCACACCATGCACACCCTGCCCAGCCCAGGGAACCCAAATCACCAGGTTCTGCAGGTCCCTCCCCTTCCTGAGCCTCAGAGACGTCGTAAAGAGAAACCAAACCATCCCTTGGCCCCCACACGCTCCCTTTGAAGGAGGCTCACGGCCGTGGGAGGTTTCTGCAAAGCTTCTTAGAAAAGCTCCTTGAGGTCGGGCTGACTCAGTGCTTCCCAAAAGGCAGCTGATCACATTGTGGAGAGCAGCTGCCGAGCACCGCCTGGCCCACAGCTCTGATCTGAGGATGCTTTCTACAGCCAGAGCAGAGCTGCTATCCCAAAATTCAATGGCAAACCATGGCCTTTTTCATACAGTGGGCTCTGGGAAGTGAGGTGGGGCAGCAAGTTGCCTGCAGCAGCCCACGCGTCATCTGCTTTGCAGGTGCTGCCTGAACACAGCTGGGGAGAGCAACATCCAGAAACTTCCAGAGCCTTCCCCCCTCACAAAGGGCCACTTGTTGCCGAGTCCCAGCGGCAGCGCTGTGGGTTAGGAAACAGGCAGCCCAGCCCAGAGGGAGCCCTGTCTGCACACCTGGATGTACAGCAGTCAGGGAGCCCTGTGAGATGTGGTGCAGCACCTCTAATGGGAGTCAGGAAGGAGAGGCAGGGCTCTGGGAGGGATGCAGGGCAGCCTATTTCAGAGAGTGCTGCTGAGCCCTGGCTAAGAGCTTCAGCCCCCACAGCTGGGGATGCTGCAGAGGCATCTGCTCATCACAGGGCTCCCAGCTGCTGGGGCTCAGCGGCTCCCAAAGAACCATCTCCACAGAGCACTACTGAAACATTTATTGAGAACAGTGTGGGGCAGCCAGGAGCACCAGGACCCCCTGCAGCTCCGGGTACAGCCTCAGCAGAGCAGCAGCCTGCCTCCATCCAGCATGCACACACCTCGACACATCTGCTCTGAGACATCTGTGTGTCCTCTATGGACTGCGTGCAGCGCTGAGACAAATCCGGCACCTGGCACTGGCCATGGAGCTGGGAGATGCTGGGGCTAACATGGGGCTGGGTGCTACTCTATATCTGCTGCTGGCTTCTGTCACATGTCATAGAATGGCCCTGCTGCCCCCAGGAGCAGAACAGCCCTGTGCTGCTGCCCAACCCCTGCACAGGGCAGGCAGGGAGCTGAGAGTGGCTGCGCAAAGTCCCAGCAGTGTGTGCTTCCAGGGCATAGAAAAATAAATAAATGGGTGTTTCTCTGCTGGGGAAGCACTTCATTTGAAAGACACTTCCTAAATCCATGTGCAAATGTGAGAGCAACCACCGTTCCTCCTCCCAGCAGGTGCTTCAGCTGCCCCATGGGGCTCCCCTTTGCTTGGCTGTCCCCGCAGCGAGCAGAGGAAGGGGCTCACTCACCACAGGCACCTGCAGCTTTCTGCTCCTGGCTTCCAGTTGCAGGGATGGGCAGCAGCCCCACATCTTCTGGCTGTGCCCACATTCAAGGACACATGGTCCTGGCAACTCTGTTTGCAGGCCAGGGGCCACAGCTGAGATGGCAGCTCCAAGTGGGCACATCCAGCACAGACTGAGGCCCGGACAGAGACATCTCCACGTCCTCAGCAGGACAGAGGTGTTCTGCAGGTGCTGCATTGTTGCAGTCCAGGCAGCTGCAGGTCCCCAATTGCATGAGCAGCCCGGAGGAGCAGGGACAGCAGCTGATACACCGTGCCCTGGTGGCAGGGGGAGCGAGGGGCCGGTGCCAGCCGGTGCTGCTGCACAGGTTCCAGCCTGGCTTCAGTTGTTCTCGCTCTGCGAGGGGTAGATAGCAGGGGTAGAGGTGAGGCACGGGGCCAGGTTGGACCCACTCCTCTCCCTCCATGCCCCAGTCTCACCTCCATTTTGCTGTAGATCCAGCCAAGGAGTTTCGTCACACGCGTGTAAACCCCAGGCTTGTTCTTCTGGCCGCATCCCGTCCCCCAGCTCGTCACGCCAGCCACGTACCAGCGGCCGTTGTCCTCACACACCAGGGGCCCCCCGCTGTCCCCCTGGCACAGAGGGGCAAAGTGGTGATGAGAGCAAGCAGAGGGCGTCCCTGCGTGACCCCAGGCACTCCCTGCCCCACTCACCTGGCACGCATCCTTCCCCCCCTGCAGGTACCCAGCGCACATCATGCGCGGGGTCAGGTAGCCCTCGTACACCTTGTCACTGTTGCAGATCTTGTAGTCGATGAGTTTGACTTCTGCCTCCCTCAGCTTTGGGGAGGTGTTATCTGCAAGGCAGGAGGAGCCGTCGGGCAGGGCCAGCCTCGGCCCCCCGCTGTAGGAGGGAGCAAGCTGCTGCTTCTCGCACACCTTCTGCAGAGCTGCACGGGCAGGAGAGCGCCTGCTGTGTGTCAGCTCTGCATGGCACGGCCCTCACACACCCCACAGGAACACGCACGTGAGGTGTGCATGAGCTCTGGAGCAGCCGGCATCCTCCCTCCCTCCCCCTCCCTCACCTTCGTTCTCCCTGGTCTTCCCAAAGCCAGTGATGAAGCAGGACCTGCCGGTCTGGAACCGCTGGCCGTGCATGGGGAGGCAGGCAGGTCGAACCTGAGCTGGATGAAATCCAGAAGAGAGAGAGATGAGTCACTCACCAGCAGAACAACAGCACAGTCACCCACCCTGCAGCCAGGGCGGAGCGTGGGCTGCTGGAAGCGCTCCCCTCTGAGCTGACCCCGTGGGGTTCCACAGCCCCCAGGACCACCCCCACCCACCCAGTCCTGCCACCTGAGAGCGTCAGCGGCCGGGAGAGCTTCATGAGAGCAATGTCATAGTCATCGTGGTCATCGCTGTAATTGGAGTTGATGATGACCTGGGAGACGGGGATGCCCTCCATGGGCTGCTTGAGGTCCGACACCCCGCCGTACACCTTCCAGTCATCGAGGATCTTCATGCTGTTCCTGGGCATGGAGGGGGAGGCAGTAGGGGTGAGACACACAGCCATGCCCAGCGCCAGGGCTGCTGAACGCAGAGCAGCACTCACATGAAGAAGCAGTGCGCGGCGGTGAGCACCCACTGCGCATCGATGATGGTGCCGCCGCAGATGTGGACGGGCCCGTACTGCACGCTGACCTGCCAGGGCCATTTGCTCACCGAGGTTTCCTTCCCTCCGATGATTCGGCCTGAAATCCTCTGCCCACATGCTGCAGGAGAGAGCAGAGGGCTGAGAGAGGGGGTAAGCCAAGAGGGTGTGCACAGCGCATCCCCACCACTGCAGTCACCAGCAGTGCTCAGCGCAGCCTGCATGGGGATGCAACCTTCATTGCTTTGTATTACCCAGAATGTTCTGCTGGAGAACACCCTCTTTGCCCAACCCATCACAAAGATGGGAAGAAAACCCTTCCAAGCATTTGCTTGGCCTTGCCTGCCCTCGTCCTCATGCCTTGCTGGACAGCCCGCTTACTTGTACACCGCAGGGAGACGAATTTCCCTGTCAGACACTGGGAGCTGTGGGAGAGAAGAGAAGGACACACGTCAGCCCCAGCCTGACCTCCAGCTCAGGTGGCAGGGGGCTGCCTGCTACCTGTTGAGGCTCTGCTGGATGGTGTCCCGCTCATCCGTCACCGTGAGGCTCTTGCCAGAGACATGCAGGGGGATGTATTCTGTCTGCGACGCGCTGGGAGAGAGGAGGTGAGACAAAAGTGTTGGGCAAAGCCTCCCCAGGGTAAACCTGCAACGCTGGGGCAAAGATCGGGACAGGAAGGATTACTTCTGGAAGCCCAGCTGCCGGCAGGTCTTTCTAGAGAAGGACTCGTCCCAGGTGCTGCTGCACACCGGCAGCCACTGGCTCTCAGCACTGGAGTAAACGTGGAGCAAGGACTGGTCGGAGCTGAACCGCACTGCAGGGATGGAGGGGGGTCAGCAGCACCCGGCGCTGCGGGGCTCCCCCCGCCCGGGCACGGCGCTCCCGGTGCTGCTGCCTTACCGCAGCCCAGCTCGTCGCTCCTCTGGGAGCAGTCCACCACGCCGTCACAGCGCACGGGGTTGTCCTTGCAGGTCTCGGCGGGCTCCTTGTACACGATGCCGGTCTGCGACCGCCAGAACATAACTGGGGACGAGCGCGAGCTGCGGTGAGGCTGGGTCCAGAGGTCTGCCACGAGCGCCTCCCACCTCGCCCTCAGCAGCTTGGTTGCAGGGTTTGGATCCCGAAGGGCCGCGGAGCCAAGGCAGGGCTGGAGGCACCAAGCATCTCCCTGCGCCCTCCCGTCCACCAGATGTCAGGAAAACTCAGAAAATGGGAAGCGCGCATCTCTGCTCCGCCTCCCGGCCCTCCCCTGCAGGGTGCCGGCCCGGCAGCCGTCCTCCCAGCCCGCTGCCCCCCCACCCAGCGCTCACGCAGCGGGGATGAAGCCGGCACTCACACAGCAGGATGAGGGCGACGATCAGCACGATGAGGACGGAGACGCAGAAGATGAGCGCGAGCCGCCGCTGGCTCATGCAGGGAGCTCTGAACATGGAGGATCCTGGCAGCGGGACGGGGCAGGGTCAGGGGGAGCGCAGCCTCCTCGAGGCACCCAGACCCCGTCCTGGGCTTGAGCGTGTGCCGCTCTCCCCTCACACCGCCAGGAAATCCCACCCTTATGCCAGCAGCGAGCACACGGGTGCATTTTCTCCTTCCATCACTTCTGCGGGAGAGACCAGGACTGGGCTGAACCCAGAGCACAAACCACCATCATCTTACGTGTGCTCTCACAGGCTGCGCACGGGACCGGGGCCGGGATGGAATCGGGGCTGTAGGGCTTGAAGCTGATGCCGAGGACGTTCTCCCGAGGCTGCGGGGGCCGGATGCTGAAGATGCTGCTGGCTGTGGAGGCATGGAGGGAGCTGGGCGATGCCGTGGTCTGTGTGAGCAGAGGGCTGTGTTATGACAGCGGCCATCACTCACTGCCCGACGCAAAGCTCTCAGCACCCTGCTGCCACAGCTGAAAGCCTCTTTGCCACAAAGTTTCTCCCTATTTGGAGGCTGCTGGGCAAATTTTCCACATGGCTTCCATCAGAGCCATCAGCCGGGCGTTTGGCATCAGCCACACCATGGCCCAGTTCCATGGGGCTAATGCCCCAATTTATGCATCTATCTTTAATTAGCCATTTGAAAAATACAGCGCAATGTCCAACTGTTATTTAGTAATACTTAATAATCAGTGTTTTCCAAGCCCTGAAACATCCTGCAGCCTGGAATGCTGTTCTGCAGTTATGTCACTCCTGACCTGTGAATTTGCAGAAGAATATGTATTTGTTTCCGTTCCCCCAGATACTCTCCCCCAATGCTTCCCCAGCTTTGACCAGCTCCACAAGCAAAGCCTCTCATTTTCCTATGAAGCAGAGACCTCACATGCACACAGCCCGCAAGAAAAGTCTTTTCCTCTGCCATTGTCATTTCATTTGCAAAATCTCAAACCTCTTTGGCAGTGAGAACTGACCGTGTGCCTTCTGGAGGCTGTGCACTGCTCCCAGCAGGTTCTCCTCCCCTCCTGGTTCCAGTTCCCTCAGCTTGCACTGTGCTGCTCAGTGAAGCCACCCACCAACTACTGCCAGGCAGAATTTTGACTGCATCCCTACACACAGCATCACCACTGCACCATCAACAGAGGAGCGTGCACCCATTGGGAGCACAGGATCACCTCCAGGGGACTGCTGTGCCCATCAGGAGCTGGGATTTAGCACGTCCCTTCACAGCCCTGCAGCTGCTGGGCTCACATTTCTCCATCACTGGGAGCACCTGGGTGCAGGGCACAGCTCAGGGACAGCGCGGTGCTGGCAGAGTTCTGGGCACTGCTTCCACACTGCCCCTTCCACCTGGATTCTCCCTGCCCTCGTGCTTCCTGCTGGCAGCCCAGGGCCCTAATGAGCGCATCAGGATCCTGCTCAGGCTCGTGCTTTGTAAACATGGCTGTGCCCTTTCGTGCAATGCAGCAGTGTCACTTCCTGGGCATTATCCCCTGAGTCACACACCTGGTGTGGCCACGCACAGGGTCTGCCATGGATTGGGAGCCCCATGCGAGGGGAAAACACCTCTGGAACAGCCCCCTCTGAGCCCAGGCACAGCACCCAGGGTGCTCAACGCAGCACTGCTGACATCTCCTTCCCACCAGGAGCCACCTCCCACCCCACAGCATCACCCACCACTGCCCTGACCCACAGCGGAAACCTGAGACCTTTCCCAGGCAAAGTTCCTCCCACACAGATGAAGCTCTGCTAAATGCCAGTGCCAATTGTGTTAGCTGAGTATCTGCAAGCTATCACCATGTCTGCTATCTCTCTTTGAACCCATCCTGTGGGGAGAGGAATGTTTCACTTATCAGATCAGCTAAAGCCAAGCATCAGCGAAGCACTGCAGAGCAGCCCCACTTCAGGCATGCAAAAGCATCTCCAGCTCGGGGTTACAAACATCTCACACAAATATCTACATAACACTATTGGTTAAATTGCTCTTGCTTCGCAGAAAGCACATGGCCTTTCTTATACTGTTGGACTATTAGTTACCCATTTCCTCAAAAGTCTAAAGTCCAAACATTGTTTTAAGCTCTATCGCAGGCGCTAACCAACCCTTTATCACGGTGCCCAGCAACCAGCACAACTAGTTACTGTTGGGTGACCACTGGAGCAGAGAGCAAACAGCAGCAGCTTTACAGGGATGGTATTTCTGCCAGAAGCTACCACTCGTGGCCACAAAGCCTTTACTCATCCTCTGTCGGCTTTTGAACAGCAGTCAGACTCAGAGCAATGACTCTCTCACACATGTGGCTGTGGTTTGAGCCATTTTTCTGTTGTCCTTTCCGCAAATGTTCCACCTGCTGTGAGGGCATTTAGCATTGCTGTGGGGTTAAGCCTAGAAGTCATGTAAGCATGCGGGGATCAGTGACTTCTTTGGCACGGGCAAAGCCTGAGCTGCAGGGAGCAGAGGACCCGCAGCACAACCCCTGTTGGCACAGACGACACCTTCACCCTTCTCAGCTCAGCTCTGCATTGCATCTTTGGGCATCCCATCCCATCCACACTGCAGCCCAGACCCCACGCACTGACCTCCAGCTCAAGGCTCAGCCTGTGATGACGCTGACAAATCCACACCAGGAGGTCACAAACCCCAGGGAAAATCCCAGCACCGTGGAGCTGGGCTAGATCCAGGTGGGATGGGGAGGGAAGCGAGAGCAATTGCTGGCAGTTTCGGAGTGGGAGGGAGAGCAGACGCCGGGTGGCACCTGTGGTGTTGCAACAGGAGCCGAGGCCCAGCAGCATCTCAGAAGAGCAGGAGGAGCAGCAGCCACCCAGAAAATCAGAGCACCGAGAGGGGCCGGAGGCAGTCTGCCTTAACCAAGCAGCAGGAGCTGCCCAGGCAGGAGATCATCTTTCTCAGCTAAGCTCACTGCTGTTGCGCAGGGAATCATCTTCCACCTGTCAGCAGAGTGCTGGGTCCTGTGCCAGACCAGCTCTGAGAGCTCACAATGGGGACATTGTCCCCATGCCCCTGGATTGAGCCCTCCTGAGCCTGCAGGTGTCTGCAGTCCCTACGCAGCCCCACGTTCCCATGAAGTGCACAGCAGTGCTGGCCCAGATCTGAGCCCCCAGCTCAGCCCAGCCACAGGGAGCCGGATGCTGTACAGGGGGCAAGCATAGGGAAGTGAAAATCCTAAAGCGCACAAGGGACATTTTGCAAGCGTGGGTGACAAGGCATTGAGTCAGCCCCATCGGGCCAGGGCCAGGTTGCCATATAGCAGAGTGAGGAGCCCTTCAGGCAGAGATCAGAAATTGGTGCAGGGGGTGAGTAAGCACTGCTCAGTCAATTCCAGAGATGGGCAAACTGAGGCACGGACAGTTGAAGTGAGGGTGGTACCTGGGATGGCCCATATAATCCAAGCAACATCCAGGTGACCCAGTGGGGATATCCAGTACTGAGTAATATTCTCCATGTGCAGGCATCCAAATCCCAGCCCCGCTGTCACCATGGTGCTCCTGCCTGCTTTGGGTGTCACAGTTAGCCGGGATCACACAGCACAGCAGTGCTGGAGGCAGGCAAGCAGAGCTCGGGGCCTTGCAAAAAAGGACAGGGCTGCAGGCAGCCCCGTATGGAAACGAGCCCCAACCCAGGCTGCCTCGGGGGCACCTTCAATTCCACTACCATGTCCTCTCCAGCCCCGTCCCTGCAGCCCTGCGGACATCACGGCGCAGTCAGCGCAGTAATTACTGCCTCTTACGGGAGGGCTGAGCCCCGTGACAGCCAGAGATGTTTTGCTCATGACGGGATGCTCGCTGCACCTTGGGGAGCCCCAACAGCTGACAGAGAGCCGGCCCTGAGCAACCCAGACCCTAAAGAATGGGGGGAAAATACCAAGAAAGTGGGTCAGGGAGGGCTGCCAGGGCCACCTCTGTGCTGCCGGTGCTGCCAGCATGCTGGAGCCCAGCAGAGCGTGGCTCCCACAGGTGTCCTAGCATCCTGCCGTACTTAGTAGCCTGCCCTCAGCTGGCCTTCATCCTTGTAAACCCACTGGAGCCACAGATCCCTCAGACGTGGTAAAGCAGTGGGGCTGAGAGGCCATCCCTCTGACAGCATGGAGCTGAAGATGCTGGTGGCACTCAGCTTCCTCCTCCCCACTCCACCTCCCCATGGCAGAGCCTCCCGGTCCTTCCCCCACCAGCACTCAGTGCCCAGGGGAGCAGGGAAGCAGAAAGCAGCCCTAAAACACCCAAAACAAGTGACTCACACAGGCCTCAGTGCAAACCCCAGCCAGCTCCAGATCCCAATTTGCTGCCCATGCCTTACCGGAGAGATTTTCCCTTCCATGGGCCGCTGTGGGGCTGGGCTGGAATCACAGCTCCGGCACAGCCATTCCCTGCTGCGGAGCGAGGTCAGGTCCGCGGGGACGGGGCAGGATCTGTTTGGTGAGCGGGTTTGTACGTCAGTGCCAGCTCGGAGGAAACCAGTCGGACCTGCCGCCCAGCTCCACCGCTGCCTGTTTCCCAACCACTGCAGGCACAGCGTGCAAAACACCTGCCTCTGCGCCCTGGGAGGAACGTGGCTATGGATAAAGGCTGGTGAGGTGAGGGCTGGCCGTGGGGAGAGTGAGTACCAGCTGGGCAGCCAGGCACTGGGGCTGCCAATAGCTCCTCGCTGCAGCTTGATCACCCGCAGTTCTGTCCTGGATGGGGATGGCAGGGGGTGTATGCCTCAGCAACAGCCCGCAGAGTCACAGAATCACCAAGGTTGGAAAAGACCTTCAAGATCATCCAATTCAACCGTCCACCATCACCAGTAGTACTCACTAAACCATGTCCCTCAATGCAGAAACACTCGTGTGTGAGGTCAGGGTGGTCAAAGAGTCACAATACGTCACTGGAAAGGATGTGAAATGTCATCTTTGTTCTTAGAGATGGCAGGGACAAGCAGGGACATCTCAGCTTGTAGGGTGCCAAGCCTAAAGCCTTCCTCAGTTCACTGCCCCAGCTTGGGGTGGGGAAACTCCATCCCTCCACCTGTCCAGGGCTGCCCCCCTGCTCCTGGGCACACTACATTCCCCATTTTCCTCCAGCAAGGTCTGGCTGGAGCAGACCTTTTCCTGCACCCTGTCTGGCAAGTCCACTTTCAACACAAACTTCTCAATGGGTGACGTTCATTTCTAGGGTTTCTGAGCATCCCTTGGCATGCAGCACCATCCTCTCCTGTTTGCACACACAGAACTGAGAGCATTTGGCTGCTTTCTGCAGCTGCCATGCCCTGCAGGGTGTGAAGCAGAGGGAATAACATTGCCCCCGGTGCCCCGGCTCTGACACCTCTGAGCTGCAGCTCTCAGGAGGCAGTTCTGCAGCTCCAGGAATGATGCCTTGCTGGAACTCACTCTCTGTAGGTGGCTTCGTAGAAAGAGCAGAAGTGGAGCTGGGGCACCTGTTGCTCCCAGTGCTTCGGATGCCCTCTCTGGACCAGCTTCTGGAGAAAACCTGCGGTGCTGCTCTGACTCAGGTGCTTTCCAGGTTGGTAAAAACACCATGCAAAGCTTAGTCAATTGTTTTGAAGATGAAAAAGAAACTCAGCAGTACTTTTGAGTGCTGATTTGACCTATGAACTCAAAACCTCTCCACCCAACACTGCAAGAGTTGAAAGGCTGAAAGTCTGCTCTTTTCTCTCTGGTTTTATCGCTGTGCTCTGGTGGGCAGCAGCACCCAGGGTGAGTGCAGAGCTCAGCTGTGGTTTCCCCGAGATGCTTTGAGATGAAGGTAGGGGAGCAGCTACAGCCGAGCAGTGTTTTGGAGGGGATAGAAGAGCAGCAGCAGGAGGAGCATCCTCAGCAGCACCCACATGTGCCAGGTCTGCACCCCGCAGTGCTGTCCCTAACACAGTACCTGGCAGTGCTGGGGTGGCTGCGCTGCTCCTGAGGCTTTCAGAATGAACCTCCAGCTGCGGTCCTTTCTCCTCAGCCTGTTTTGTTTTCCCCTAAATCACCAGCCACATGACGGACCGCAGTTTGTCTTTTCCAGCAGGTTCCCTCCTTCCTCATTTCTGGTCCCGCTGCTTTTGTTTTACATGTCTTTACATGAAGCATGGGCTGTGTGTGATGGGCTGCACCTCATCTCAGCATTTCCAAATTCTGTCCCTGCCAGCTGTGACTCAGGGCTGACAGCAGGGTGATGGAGCATCAGCTGCTACCCAGGAAAACAAAGCCTAGCTGGGCACAGCCATGGAGCAGGGCTGCTGCCACCTCCCTGCCTAGACCTGGGTGCCCCTGGGTGCTGCAGCATGCCCAGGACCTGTGCTCTGTGAACCAAGACTGCTCAGAGGCTTTGTGGTGTCCAGATGCTCTGTTTCTCTTGTACTTTTTATGTGTGACCTTTCCACCAGCTCCCCATCGGGAAATTCCTCTTCTCAAGACAAATCACACTTCATCACACGGGTTTGCATAGCCTCCAGGAAAGCCCTCAAGCTCTCCTGTAGTCCAGCCTGCCAGAAAGGAAAGCAAAGCCAGCTCAGCCTTGGCCCTCAGGCCAGTGTCACCACCAGGCAGAGTATAGCCCTGGGTACAGCCCATGGCTCGCTCCAGAGCTGAGCCCTGTCTCTTGCCTGGACCACCCTTATGCATCGGGGTGCGCAAGGAGCACAGCAGGCAGGGGGTGGTCACCCACCCGCAGAAACAGGGAATGGGAGCCAGGAGATGTAGGGAAGGGAGGGAGCAGCAGTCCCGGGCTGTGGGACTGGCCATGACCTGTTTGGTGTGGGACATTGGCGCTGGGGGTACTGTGGGACTGCTGCTGTGCTCAGTGATGCCCCTGTGATGTGTTGTCAAGGTGCTGCTGAGCTGTGCTTTGAAAATCTAATTGAACAGGGAGGCAGACACGTGACATGTTCCTATTTTCACTTTCTTGGCAATGTACCATTTATTTGGAAAAGCCCCCAGCACTCCCGCCTGGGGCTGCTGGCAGGAAATGCCCAGCCTTGCGCGGAGAGCTGAACGGTGCTGAGTGGGTGGACAGCAAAGAAAAGTGGAAGTCACAGCACAGCTACTTTCCTCCCACTGCGCTAGCTCCTCCGAGACGTCACTAAGCCAGCCTCCGGGGGGAAAAACAAGCGCTCACAGCCCGCCCGTCTCAGCGCGCACCCGGCTCTCCAGCCCAGCACCTGCGGAGGATGCACATCCGACATGGCTCTCTGCGCTGCCCTGGCCCTGTGCGTGGCTCTGCTGCTCGCTCAGACAGCACATGGTAAGTGCCCCATGCTCCTGCCCTGGGAGCTCCTCTGCACCCCCACCCTGAGCCCACAGCACCGGGGACTGCAGTTGGGGAGGCACTCGGGGGGAGCGGCACATGGGGTTGTTGCGGTGGGGCCCCGTGGCTTCGGAGTGCTTTCGGAACACCAGCCCCTCACCTGCTCTCATCCTTATCTGTGAACCCGAAGCCTTCTGAGCACTCAGACCCTTTTGAGCACTCAGATCCTTCTGAGCACTCAGACCTTGCTTACCACAATGCGTTCAGGCTGTGAGGCCTCGTGTTATTGGTGCCCGGTTGTTAGCGCACACCGTGGCAGCTCAGCTCCGGTGCTCAGTGTTTGCTGTCTGACAGCAGCGGTGAGAGGAGCGAACACAGAGAGAGCAACAGATGTTATCGAGTGGTGTTTTGCTGCCAGGTTACAATACCGAAATTCAGGCAGGAGGTGTGAAAAAGTCTATTTTTTTTTCCCCAGCAAGTAGATGAACAAAACAGGAAGGCTGAATCCAAACAGAGTGCTTGCTAGCAAGCAGCAGCACTTGAGGGAACAGACAAAAGGGGGAGGAAAGAAGTGAGGTGCTCTTGCCTGGGCTCTCTCTCTAGGAGAAAGGAAGGGAAACAGAATGAGTAAATGCTGGAGCCTGGGATTGTTCTGGGGAAATCCCTGTGCCAGGACTGAGCCTGTGGCTCTTTGGGGCCAGCAGAGTTTCTGTGGCCGTGGACCAGGTGAGGTGGCCCTGTTTGGGAGCCCTCAGCTGATGGCTCCATCCTGCAGGTGAGCTGCGGTTAAAGCCCACGCATGTGCGCTTCGTGGCAGAG